GTGGGGGTGAAATGTATTTAACTTGTGACTTCCTTGGCTTTCATTGTGTTGGTAGGATGTGTACCTGAGCAACTTTAACTGGAAGCTAACACATATTTGTATGGAGATAAACAAGAAGTTGTGTGTAAAATTTCCTTTTTAGGACGAAAGGAACCTAGGTCAGGGTACAGATAAGATAAGGAGCCTTTCTGTCTAGGTATTTAGTACAACTCCTGTAAGGCCCCAGTGTTGCAAAGTCCCAACTAAGAAGTCAAGCACACGCATAAGTCTTTGCAGGATCAGGCAAAAACCATTATCATTTGATTGTGTAAAGGCTTATGTAAAATAAATGGTGGTCTTGGTGCAATTCTTTTTGGACATGTTAGCACCCTTGTTGGCAATTTCAGGAAAGAAGCCAAAGATCGAATGGACATGAAAAATGAACCTCCCTATCAACCCCAGAGGAATGTGAACAAAATTAATAGGTAGGGTGAGAAAGTTGCATTACTACTGGCCTTGTCCCTGTTCTGTTTGTTGAATAGAGGGCTTCATTCTCCAGGACTGTCACTGTTACCATTTATGAACAATACAGTCCTCTAAATATTTACAAAAATGTAATATGACTAATCCTTAGGAATCCACACCTTAAAGTATAGGGAGGTACTCAAATAACATGATGGGTGCCAGGTTATAATAATTTAATATTTGCATTGCAGTAACACCTAGAGGCCTCCATCAGGAATTGGGTCCACATTCAGCTAGATGCTGTAAACATGTGTGTGAAGAAGGGAGTAGGTTAACTTGAAATTGAATGATACGAGAGGTTATAGGATAAGTGTTAAGCAAAATTGTAGGATGGGGTATGTTGTGTTCTTTTCTGTCTTTGTTCCACAGAGACACAGAGGCTTGGACTCGTGGATGGAAGCTCCACCCAGACTGATCATTTGGAATTTAAGGGGTTTGAATTTGAAGGATCATTGTTTGGCTCCTGAGGAGAGGGGGATCTAGATTGTGATCAGCAAGGGAAGCACTGCGGAGGTTTTACAAGATTGCTTTCCCTAGTGGAGTAAGAAGTTGAAGGGTTACTGAATCCAACTGTTATGTATGTTATGTTTGCTCTGGTTAAATAAGTTTAGTGGTTTTTCAAACCCAGTAGTTGGAGGCATAGTCAATCGGTGGGTTTTGAAGAGATCTTCAGTAACATAGAGTTATGAAAAGCAGCCAGAATCACTGACAAGAGGAAGATTAGAGGGGTAAAAGGGCTATTCTGATGATCCAGAAACACCAGTGTTGAATAAGGTACATGCCCAGGAAGAAGCAGGTTGTCGCCTCATATAACAGAAAGATCTTACAGTCTACGTAATTTTGATAGATAACACTTAATTGGTGCCTGATAATGACTTGTCACACTCATATCGCACCTGAAAAACCACACAAATTAAATAACTAAAGAAACGCAACATAGCATTTTAACTAAAGGACTCAACTTTGCTCCCTTTGCAGACAATGGCAAAACTCCCATTGACTTAAATGGGAGCAATATCAGGCTGAAAGTGTTTATTTTGGCTTTAGATTTCCTGGTGGTTGGCAGAATAATTTTTCAAAGGAGGCCATCAAACATGCACATTTTAGAAGCTGAGTCAACTCTAACTGCATGTAAGAATTTAAGGTGCTATGGTTTCATTTTACTGAAATGTCTCCTTAAATTCTACATCCAGCCAGTTATTTGAAGATGAATTTGTTATGCCACGTTTTTTTTTTAATGGAGAGTAAAGATCTTCTGATTTGTCACATCATCTGTTTGTCCTTTAACAATTTTTAAAAAAAAATTAAAATCAACTTGAATTGGTAGTTTAGTTTTGTTGCAATATTGATTTTAATTTTTTTTTAAATGGGGACAGTATGAAATCTTCCTAATAACTAAAGCCTTCTTCCACTTAATTTGTGCTTTTGTTGCTACTAACAAATAATTTGCAGTATGGGTTTTCTGTACACCATTGATAGGATCTATGTGCTTGTCATCCCAGTATGCTGGAAATGTTACACTCAAATCAAGGGTTCCTTTCTGGTTTTGTATGTCCTCACCTGCTCCTCACTGTAAATCATTGAGATGTCAAGTGTAGTGATTAATTAAGCTGCACGTGCAAGTGCTTTTTTTCACCTGTCAAGTAGGAAAGAAGACTTGCTATAGACAATTGTTTGATGCTGTTTAATTCACTTCTTTTTCCCTGAGCTGTGGAGTTTGCAGTAATGTTTTACATTTAAATTTTCATTCACATTTTTATAGCTGTAATTCAGTGTTGGTTTACGAATTTTAAATCTCCCAAGGCATATTTACAGGGGGATATAAAGTACTATAGTAGCAGTTTTACATAAGTGAGCAAGACCAACTGTATAATATAGTGTTATCAAATGTTATATAGTCAAAAGTGTATTAGTTAGAGTAGTTCTAATTGGAGACAATAGATTACAGTTTTTAAATAAATTGATTAAACCTATGCCACTAGTCTAACAGGTTTAATATTTGTGATGATATTTTTACTGTAATGAAGGATTTTTTAATATTTTATGGAAAGTACTTTTGGTCCATTCTGTGTGCAAGATTTTAATATTGTATGCTCAGTTTCTTGTGTGTATGTATTATATGCCTTGTATAGTACACTATCTATCTATATGTGTGTGTGTATGCGCACATGTGTATGTGTACAATTTTATTGGAATTTGGAAAGCTTGAATGTTTGTTTCACTCTTTTTCAGGCAAGTAGTAAAATTAAATTGTATTGTGATCTTAATCTATTATTAAAAGGTCCGGGAAAGGAAGATTACAAGGTAGATTCAGGTTTTGAATCAGTTTTGCCATTGGTTTAGCAGCGGGTGGGCAGGCAGATGCCTGCTCAGAGTAGAACCTATTGCCATTTTTCACCATTGATAGAGTAGCCTTTCAGAGTCAATGAGCTCTGTCAATGTGAGCTTGTCAAGGCTACAACTTCATAGACCTGAGAGGCGGTTTGAGAGGTCAGCCCTTTTCAGGTTTGCTGTGATGCAAATGAACTTTAATGCTTAAACAACTATTGGAATTTTTATGTCTGCTCCTTGTTCTTTTTTCTTCACAAAGTCATTGACGAGACATTCAGTGCTTTTTAAATTGGAAGTTGCATTGTGCTAAAGACCTAGTACAGATTTACGGAGGGCTGAAAGCAGTTAGATCATGTTCTTTTCATGGTGCGATTAGAATCAAATCGATTTCCCTACAGCCTTCAGCATTCAGATGGCAATTTTAACAAAGCTTGGGGGCTAGACAAGGGACAAAACGACTGAACTGAATGTTAATTACACTCTGCAGCCTTATTTTCTTTTGATTTGGAGCTGACTGGCAACTAAATTAACAAAAGTGTGACCATAACTGCTGCCCTATTTTCATTTAAAAGGAGAGCAGACTCTAAAAGGCTGTCTTTACAAAGAAACAAGTTAGGTCTGCTGATCATACTTAAAGGACACCGTCTTAAAAAATAGTACTAGTTATAATAATAATAATTAATAATAAACAAAAAGAAACCCTGAATTCCAAAAACTGATTAAATAAATTTAGTCACTGACAAAGCCACCTCTTCTTGTAATGTCTGCTTTTAAAATATAATGTAGTAGAAACACAACCCAATAATGATTATTCATAGATTATAATTAATTTATTTTTAATCATATGACCATAGCTCAGGCTTAAACATGTTTGATGTTGAAAGATTATATGGTAACTAGGGAGCAAGTAGCTGACTTTAAATAAATATTAACATTTTGCATTTGAAATGCCAAGCCAATCAATTGAAAACAGTTGTTTAATTTTTATTTTATTCAGCTCATACTTGCTTGACACACAGATTTCTAGTTTGTGATTGTTAGTGTTTGTTTATACTACCTCTGTTATTTTGCAATAATAACAGCAAGATGCTTCCTACTTCATCCCCATTGCTTTGTAAGGAAGCTGCAGCTGCACTAAGTTGCAGTTGATCCTTGTCAGTACTGTGTCCTTTTGCACCTGCAGCTCTGTTGGTCTCATCTTAACACCTGGCATCATGAATTATCCTCTTTTATTCGTACTTGCTAGCAAATCCCATTAAGGGCTGAGCAGTATACATTGCGGCAGTCAAATGACCATAAATGTCAGAGTACATTTCTAAAATGTAAGTATAACTAAATTATTATACTCAGATACTCAAAATATCTCTAGGCGTGAAGCTGTACTTCAAAAAGATCGCTGTTTTTCATTACATTTTGCATACATGAAAATTGAGTGAGAAGTTATTAGAATTGCATAGATGCAAAATTTCAGTTGTAAAGATTTATCAAGGTTTAGATTTCAAAATATCAGAATTCTTTGCATGAAATGTCAAATGTAAAAGCACAGATATCCACATTTTGAGAATCTGAAATATTGGTATTGCACTGCATTTTTGTGTAAATCATAGATTTTTTTTTTTAACCACTTAGCATTTGTGCAAGTTACCATCTTAACTTTCTATATTTGGATTTTCCTGGCTAGTTTTCAGAGCTAAAGATATAAAAGATTTTCTTTAAGGTGTTGGTTAGATAGAATATTAGATATTTATACTTGACCTCTTGCATTACAAAATAAAGTTTACAGCATCTTTCAGCTGTTCAAATAGTGACGTTTTGGAAGCAGTATATTCACATTCTTACTGAGACTTAAAAATTGTCTGAAAATTGCTGTTGAGTACTCTTAGGAGACATTTTTAAGTCCAAGCAATTAAAACGTATGTATGAACCATTGTGCTCAAAAGTTGTAATGCTTTTTTCACATTGTCCCATAGTTAATTTTTACTTTTTAAAAAGGGTCATTTCTGCTCTAGTTACTGTTTAATACTACAGAAGTTTTGATAGTATTGCAGACCACCCTGTACTCAGTCACTGTCCTATACCTCTCCCCTTTTCACACAAAAGCAGCTGCAAAACAAAGTTTTTCTAAAACCAGTCAAGAGTAAAATTCTTTCTCATTTGTCTTCCAGACACGAAGATCGATTGAGAAGTTATTAGAATGGGAAAACAATAGGTTATACCACAAGGTGAGTGCCGCAGGGAGCAGCTTCGTACTGTTGGAGTCTGAATTGCACAGTATGGAAACAGATGCTTTTGTTGAACGAAAAATATGAAAGGTGGACAAATGGGCTAGTCTGTGTGCTGCAATAAAATACAGCTCATTTTTCTTCTTTTTCTTTCCTCCTTGTCTAGCTGTGCTTGCATTGGAGACTGAGCAAAAGGAAATGTGAAACGAATAACATGATGGAATATGTAAGTTAAAGGGCTGTTTTGTGAGTTTCTCTATTAAATGATCATTTATTTTGCTTCTGATCTTATTCTTTTCATGATTATTAATCAGTAAAGGTGTCAGGAGCTTAATCGCCTGAGTGCAAGGATTTTCTACGGTTCACAGATGCATGGTTTCATGTGCAGGACTGATTTATAAAGTTATGAATGACTTGAAAACAAGGCTTCACTGTGTTCTGAAAAATAATAAATTAATTGCCAAGATAAAATAGCTTGAACGTGTGTTGATGGAGTGTGAAATTTTAGATGCTGTATAAAGAATAACCACAACTTTGGTTACGCAGCAAGTCAGATATGGCTGTTTTATATAATGCTAATCAAGTCTAAAAGTATGGAAGAAGACCTTTCAGCTAAGCTGTTGGAGCTTAAGAAACCTTTAGCCTTTATAGATAGTAACTGCCCCATATCTCAACTGTCTTGAAAGTATCTTTATCTTTAATAGGGTTACTAAAATATTTTTAAAATCAGTCTTATAAGTAAGCTACAAAAGACACTTCGGTTTGGTTTTTATTCCCTAAAAAGTTCTCAAGTTATAGAAATATATACGCTGAAAAGTTGCATGCCTTCTACAGTCAGTCAGTATGGGATTTCAGTTTGCTCACCTAGCTGTTTTCTTGCTCTTTTATTTGTTTTCTGTTTTATTACTGTTTTCAAAAGCTTTTGAGTGCAGTCAAGGGAGAATGAGTGTGGTGAGATGAGTCTGTTAAATTGATTAAATCATTGAAATATGTAGGATTTCCTTAATAGGAGAAGCGAGTGGGCCAGGAAGGGGTTAACTATTGAAAATAAAGACTAACCTGGGAGAAATACTTCTTAAATATGCATGGTCTTTTGTTATGTGATATTTTGTCTATTCATTGAAACAATAAAGCCATCATAGACAGCATATAAAAAGATTGGTTAAAATAGTGTTTAAATAATTAGAAATTATCTTAAAATCATCTTTTCACTGCTAGCATTCCCCTTTCTTCCATTTTCACACTAAATCCTATTTCTAGCCTGAAACATAAAAGATTTTTAATGTCTCTTTTCACAGAATAGCTCTATTCACTAAACTGAATAAGTAGATTTTTGTATCATTATCCATTATATAAAACATGTTAATTTATGATGAGATGCATGATATTTCACTATAAAAAGAAAATTTCAGTAAGCTGTTTTGAGCTGACCTATATGACGATGTCCTGCTTTTTCATCACTGAATGCTTCTGTTTTTCTACAGAAGTAGTTAGCATTGTCACCTCAAATCCTTTACAGACTAAACTGAAACTAAGCAAAAGAGGCTACAGGTTTTTTTTATTAATTTTGGAAGGTGGCTTATTAGAGTTTAAACAAATGTTCACCTTTTATTAGGTGAACTTGTATGAAATTATAGTCACTTTTTATATAGTGGACATTCTGTTAACTAAAGATTTTAAATCAATTGGTCTACTTACAGGAGTAAAGTTAAGCTTGTGCATAAGTGTTTGCAGGATCAAGATCTAAGAGTGAGAAATATTTTTAAAAGCTTCTAACAAGTTAGCTGTAGAAATATTTAATATAGTTATTTTAATCCAACATTGATTTTCCACAGAACTTGTGTTCTATTCTTTCATCTGTAACTAGTTAAGATGCTGGTCGTATTAAAGCTGTTTTGAATTTTCCATTTATAAGTTAACTTTAAAAAGAATTGGGGGGAAAAATTAAGCTAAGACTTTAACAAATGAATGCCAAAATTGAGGCTCCCATATCCATATTTAGGCATCTAAATAGGGCTTGTCTACAAGAAGGTTTTATCTGTTGGTCTTGATGCTAAAGAGCGTACAAGTTGTTTCACTCCACCAGTATAAAAAATGACTTGCACCTCTTCAGCTTATTCTAGTTTGAAACATGGCCTGAATTTCAAAAGCACTCAGCAGCCCAATTGAGGGCAGTGGTGCTCAGCATTTTTGAAAATCAAACTATTTACTTAGGTGCCTACATTTATATTTAGAAGCCTAACTTTAAGGCTTTGAAAATCTTGGCCTCAGTGATCAAATCCGTGGATTAAACATCCCCTCCCTCTCCCCCCACACACTCATACACACCTTTTTATAAAAGACAGATGAGGCATTTATCCTTTAAACAGCCAGTTTTCTCCCTATACACCCAAATGTACCTACTGAGTGTCAGCTTTTTGTCTGTTTCAGGTAATAGGCTTTTTTATATGATAGGTTTTTGATGATGAAACGTATTAGTTCAGAAACGTTTAGGAATGCAATTTTAATTGATTAGAAGAAAGGCTACCTCCTTTTACTAGTGTGCTTTGAATTGCACAGTTAGAAACCAATAAAATTCAATTACATTCCTTTGTTGAACAGAGTAGGGTGTTAGGAGTCCCAATCTTACTGATGTGTCAGTAATTTTATGGACAATTTTATGGAGGAGGAAAGTTTTGAAAGGGTAGTTTTTCTTAAGATGCCCTTCAACACACACTAAGGGATAGATTATATTCAGATATGTTATATTGATGGCCTCCTATAGCAAAATGGCTCACACATTAGAATCTAGGTCTGAATATTCATGTTGAAACATAAGTCAAGTTTCTTTTTACCTACCTGAGAATTTGTTTGATATGGAGATGGCCTTGAAATATGTAAGACAGAAGATTAGTGGAATAGTAATTAGTACTTTTTATGGAAAATCATTGAAACTATAAACATTTTTTTTTAATTTTCAATTGATTGCAAAACTGATCTGAACTGAGAACAACTGCTGATAGTTTGGTTATAAAGTTATTCTTACATGTAGTCATCTTCTCTTTTTAACATTCATGTCTTTACATTTTGTTAGAAAAAAATTGAGCCAGTTAGCTGAGTTTGTCAATGAATAATTAGCTGGTGGCTTATTTTAACATGACCTGTGAGCCATACGTTTCTCTATCCCATCTGATACTCTGGCTGTTAAGGTTTACTGCCCTTAGATAGGCACATGATGTGTGTGTCATTTCCTAGTGGTCCCTTACCTAAAAAGGGTAGCATGGCCCTTGATTGTTCATTCCTTCCTCTCTCCCCACATTTTTAGATAATTGTAAACAAATTTTGTGAGTGGTTGCTGTGATGAATTTCAGTTAATGGATAAGACTGATGCCAAGTTTCATTAAATTTGTTTTTCTTTTTATACAGGTCATTCTGATAGAATTTTTACCAAAGACACCGATTTTTCGACCAGATTAGCATTTGCTTTATTTATAGAGACTTATCCAAGTATGTTGTCTTTCCAATGGTGCCTTGCTTGGTGCTCTCCTGGTGGTGATATAGCATTGGTTCTACAAATTATTGTGGTGTTTTTTGTTCTTTTTGTTTTTTAATAACAGCATGTTCTAAGTGCATTTTGTCAAAATTTGCAAAAGTCATTTCATGCAAATGTTAAGTACTACTTAAGTTATTACTTGTACTTATTATGTTTGTTAATGTATCTTGATTTTCAGAGAGTCTTTTATATGTGTGTGTGTATATATACATAACATAAATATACAGCTGAAAATAGCCTACAAGCGAGCAGACTTTTTTTAACCCATAATACACATAATGAGTTGACTGTAAATTGTGGAAGTTCTTTTAATCTTTAACCTGTATACCTAGGTAACTTCTATGACCCTCTCCAGATTTTGCCTGTGACATTCTAGTTGTATATTTTTATTTTCCCTTTTTTTGCGGTGGGTGGGGGAACGAAGGGAATATCAGCCAGCCACCTCTACTGGGATAATGAGCTATGCTTGTTTGAAACTGTCCATTTTGGAACCCAAATGTCAATGCACCATTAGAAGTCTCTGTGCTCTTTTGTGAAGAAATCTATCAGCTGGTTCTGAAGAAATTCTACCTTAAAGGTTAATAAACCAGAATTCAAAGTATTTTACTTAGACTAGAAATATCATGGAAAGGTTTGCATGCATCTAATGATTACTAGAGCTCAGGATCACAAAAATACATTAGTATTGCAACTTATAATGTATATATCTTAATTCAGGTTAATGCCATGTAACAGCTTTACTCTTTACTTCTTATTGTTTACCAGATCTTGTACGCAAGGGTGCAAAAATATTTGTTTCAGTAAATGTATTGTCCCAAGAAAATCTTTTTTGGGTTTTTTAGGGTTTTTTTAAAATGCATTTATAACCTCACACAGGCAGTTGTTTCAGAGAAACCTTGAAAAATACAGTTCCAGACACAAATGCAGACGGATGCCATGTATCACAAAATTAGTCAAAGCAGGGTACACTGGACAATAGTGAGAACTTAAGAAATGTATTGGATAAATATTTATTGCACCCTGATTTCTTCCCATTTAGGTTTACAAGGTTTATTTTCTGCACCAATATGATTTTAAAAAAACCTGGATATGTGATGTATGCTTGGGTCAGGCCAGTTCTATTTCATTCTGTTACTTATCTCACTTGGTTGTACATATATTCATATATGTTTGTTTTTAATAGCTACTCAGTAATCTTATTTTTTAGTTTGTTCTTTTTATGTCTGGAATTACCATACATGAACATTAATGTATGCTAAGAAACTGTTCCTCATACATCTGTGGTAGCAAGCAATAATGTGAATTACTATGACAAACAAATATACTCTGCATAATATTCGTATGAATGAAAAGTTGATATCACTACATGAATACTTTTCTCTTTTTACTCTTTTAAATACATGTTTCATTTCTCATTAATATATACAAGTACCTGGATGTTATGAACTATTTTTGTATACTTCAAAATAGTTATTCTCTATAAATCTTCACTAGCGAATGTCGTATTCATTGTTTGATATTGGGAGCTGTCTAGAAAGGTCAAGGGTTTTCTCTGAATTATCTTAATCTGTGTTCTCTATATATGCCCCAGACTAGAGATCTTCCATTACTCAGCTTTTATCTATTGAAGAAAGGAGCTCTTGTGTTTTCTGTGTAAGCTGCAGGTATGCTTTACTGTTATCAAAGTTCTCAATGGACTGTATAAAATAGCTCTTTCATAGACGTATTGTTGAGTATCTGTTATCCCTTCCAGTTCTCCATTGGTATTTCATTAATGAAGAAGTGTCTGAGTGGCTGAAAGATTTTCACTTGAGGCATATCTCTTGTAAAGTTTATATGTGGTACTACCCTGTGTTAACACAAGAGCCATGACTGCTCAAGGTGTCAAATTTGTATTAACCAAATGGATGTCAGTCTAATTTTATCAGACTTTGCAGCTCATTTTTGAAACTTCTGTATCACCCTTTGAATATCTGTTGTAGAAATCCAAATTAGAGCTTTTGTAGATCAAAAACTTTGGAAATTCCTTGATATGAAGGACAAGTCAAAATATATGAAATGCTCTAAGAAGCAATTCTCATCACACTCAATGTCGCTGACTTGGGTTGGCCTCCAGAGAGACTCAGGAGTTTGGGATCATTGAGGCAGTTATGGCTGACCAAGATTTTTAAATCTTTGTGGTTTCTCCTGTCAAAGTAGACCATTCATCCAGTAGTAGTTATAAAACTTCTTTACACGAAACCCTTAACCCCTGAACAAAAATAATATAAATTGGAGATGGAAAAGACCTTAAAAAGTCATCAAGTTAATCTCCGTAGCGGCCAGTAGGGATTTTTTTAACATAATTTCTAATGTTTTGTCCAATCTGCAGTAGGTTTACGTGTCTCTAGCAATAGTTTCATTTCCTATGAGTCCAACTACCAAAATTAAACAGTTTATAGTTTGGGCAGGCCACAAGACAATGATAAGGAGAAAAGGGAATCAAAATGCTACTTTCTTTTGCAGGATATTTTCAGGCTGCCCTTTTATAATTGAAAAGCAGTTAACACACTAGACTAGTCTGCGTGTTAACTGCTTTACAATGATAAAGGATAGCCTAAAAATATCCTACAAAAGAAAGTAACCTTTCTGATTCCCTTGAACTAGTTATATTTGCTTGAACTGTGAAGGCTGGATATGCACTTAAGATTTCTCATTTGTATTCTTTTTAATTAACACAGTATCTAGTTATGTCTATTTAACCTTTAGCATGAAAAACTGGTGCTAAGGGCATCAGTGACTGTATTTGAAAGTTATTTTAGATAGTTGATTGTAAATGCAGTTGCCTTTAATAGTTTGGCCAGGATTTCTCTTTCTTTCCATAGTATAAGCAAAGAAAATCAGTTGTCTCCATCATCAAAAGATGCACTGTAGTTATTGGGGAAAGGTTCCCACTCCAGAGGGCTTTGGATCAGGCCCTACATGAGAAGTCCTGATGGTATAATATATCTGCAAGAACCCTTAACAGTTGGCCATTGGTTAAGGTTTGAAGCTTCCAGTGCGATTTGCAGAGTTTGCAGTGAGCTGTTAATCAGAGGAGGGAATCTTTATAGATAAAAGTTACATAAAGCTATTAAGCATTTCAAAATCCCTTTGGTAAGGGTACTTTTTAATAAATTTTACAAGTAAATCCAAGAGTCCGTTACACCCTTCAGAATAACAGAGCTTTTCATTACCATATGCTGTGGATTCTGAAGACTTGCAGTAGTAGAGTTCTAAATATCATAGGAAAGGGTTAAAAACTGTTTTCCCCCAGATAGTTACCAATTTCAGTGTTGCTAACTCATGATTTTTATCACAAGCTCCTGGAGACAGGTGATTAGGTTAGAATCTCAGCTGTTTTTTTTTTTTTTTTAAGTAAATTTCTAGCCCTCCTGTTTGCAGGTAAAAGTTTGAATATATGAACCCTAAAGGCTCAGAAACTAGAAGGAAAAGGAAAAGAACCTCAAATTTATTTATTTTTTTAAATCAAGAGACATTTAAACAAATCTATCTTTGAGGGGGAGTCACTCATGATTTTTGAATACTTGAGGTTGGTAATCCTGCAGATTGCTGATCCAGAAAGCTTAATACTGAACAATTTAAAGAGATACATAAATGGGACATGTACCTCTTAAGTCTGATAACCTGTGCCTGCAGGAAAAAACAGTGATGGGAAGGACTTTAGCTAAATAAATAAATATTAGTGGCTCTAATCTACATTTCAAAGCACTGCATTTTTGTAGATAAGGGCCTTCTCCCTTATCTGAGGTCAACATTTTGAATGTGAAGGATACTTAAAATAAAGCAAGGATGCATCCTAGTCTCAAAAGATGTCTTGGATTTATTGTAGCAGCCCAGTAGTATGGGTGGTGCGTTCAGCTGGCTGGCTTTGGATCCATGACTAAAATCAAGTTCTTGCTTAGATAATTTGCTATTGAAAGGACAGTGTTTCAGAAGAGAAATCTGTATTCATCATCATTACTAATTTGCTCCAATTTCTGTGATTCTTTCCCCAAAAGCATCCTTCCCATCCTGTTATATGTACACTATATAATGATTTTGTTGGCCACACTTGGATGAAAATATAATTCCTGAGGCATTAATAGGAAAGATAACAGAGCTAATAGGCTGAATAGGCCTGTCTCCATGAAGGCTTATTTTACAAATTGCTTCCCAGAAGGTTACTTGGACTTTAGTATGCATGACTATTTAAAATGTAATCAGCCTGTGGCCAAGGCAGCCCACTTTACTGTGTGGTGTGAGGATGTTAAACACAATGAGCATTTTAGATCACCAGATAAGGATAGATGAATTCCCTTGCTGTAAATGCAGAACCTGAATATTTCCAAGGAAGACTAGTTCCACATTGAAATGCTTTCCATATGCTTCCCTTTTCTATGACAGTTATGTGTGCAAACTGGGTAAGCCAGGATTTTCTGGTATTGATAAATGCAAATGTTCTTTTTGCTGGGAGACTTAATCAGTGGGTGCCAGTGGAAAAAAGTGCAGTGGAAGCAAATGCTCTTGCTACTGTGTGATGTGACTCGTGTGCCATATCCTTAGTTAATGCAGTGCTCTAGTTTGCCGCCAGATTAATATATTCAGCTTTGTTAGTAACAGCGTGTCTAACTTTGGACTTTGTTATTGTCCACTGATATAGCATAATTCTTTGCCCTGGAATCTCCTGGAAAAATGAGAGTCAGTGTGATTTGGTATGTTTTGAGACTGGTTGTTAAAAAAGAATCCTCTGAGTTATGTGTATTAAATTTAATTTTGTCAGTGTATATCCCCACCACATCACAGCTGGATGAAATGGATTTTTTGTAACCTAGATTGTTTTGTTTAATTGGAAGACGCTCTTTTAAAAGTTCATCCAGGCTTATTTCCTTTGATATTGCTTCATTAAAATCAGCTTGTCTTGGAGAAAATGAAGTTACACTCTCCCATTTACCCTCAGGAGTCAAGCATTTGTGAAAGTTACAATGAGGCAATGGTGCAATCAAGGTAATTGTAATAAATTTTAGTTAGGAAGGCAAGGTGCAAAAGGCTGAACATAGAGCTTGGTAACAGAACTCTGAGTGTACTTCAAAATGGGTTTCTTTCTGTATCAAACGGTATTGAAGGATGAAGGTTATGTCAAGGCTAATTGAATCCCTTTCCTGAGCTTTTGTAGACAGTGTTCTAATTCCCACTACATTTTGGGTCTCCAGCAAGTGCCTCATTAACCTTTTTGGCTGTGCCCTAATTGATAGAGATTTCTCCAGCTATGCTACTTATGAGAAACACTTCCACCTTAAAGATAAAGCATCTTCTACCTTTCTGTTAACTGGGTATCTTTAGTTTAAAACTTAAGATATCTAGCTCAAAAAGGAATCATGGATAAAAGCGGGGCAGCCTTAATTACACACCAATCTTTTCCAAAGCTAGAGCCTGTAATGCATGGTTAATTGTTTTCAAAGAAAAATCTTAACTTGTGCATACAGCTTCTGTCATGTGACAACATATATAAAACCTAAGAGTTAGGATCCAGTGAGGATAGCTTAAATTCAGGTAAATTAAGTAGATTTTGTAGCTGGTTGTCTTTATTGAAAAGGAACTGTTAAATGATCACCTTTAAGAGGCAGATATTACATTTTTTAATGGTCCCTACAGTTTATTTTTCTCCCTGTAACAAATATTGAAAATTACTTTGCCTCAAATGTCAAAAACTAGGATTCGTCGTAATCTAAAAATTTTGTTTCAATCATTTTTATTTTGTAAAAATAGGGTGGTTAATCCATTTTATAGACCATGCGTTAGCAGCCTTTTATAAATCAAAATATGGTGGTGCAGTGTAATCCTAAAATACTTTAAGGTGGGTCTGCGTATGGAGGAACTTTCTTAACAAGCTTTAAAAGTTAGTTTATGATCTCTTATGTTATAGTTGCAACACACTGTCTAATCCATCAGAATATGCTTTGTATATATTTTAAAATAGAAGGTTTTTTTCAGAGAGTAAATTGTTTCAAGGAAATTCAAGTAGTTGAGTAGTTTAGCATTAAAATGTCTAACTTATTCGCTTTCCTTAAAAGACCTAAATTTTGCAGTGAAAATGCTGACCTAGGTTCAACTAAAATAAAGACAATTTACTGTAGATTGTATGGGCTAAATTAATCCCTCTGTAACTCAGCTGATTAAGTGAAGTTCCAGAGAGTTACCTTTGGCTGTATATGGTTAGTAAAATCCTGTGAAACACATTATAAATCAGTAATCCTAAAAATGACCTAAGAGATCTGTCAAACTGGCCAAATAAACAAACTTGTTAAAATAACCACACTGCATCAGTCTATGTTAAAAAAAACCAAAAGCAATAAATGTACTTTACATTAAGATTTAGTAGCAGTCTCCCAAATACCTAAATTCAAAAGTAATCATGTCACTTAAGGATATCCTGGTAATAAACAGTTGAGAATATTAGAAGGATTGGATTGCTGTGACTTGACTATATTAGCATTACTCTTCAGATATTTTAAATCCAGGGTGAGTGACTGAAAGCTTAAAGGCCAGTACTATGTTAATGGGGAGGGGAGGGAAAGGAAATGAGTGAGGAGAGGATAGTTTTAAAACTGCACAATTGTAATTATGCATATTTAACAGTATTTAACCACGTCTGCTACTATTACTGAAGTTAATCTCTTGTTGAATTTT